AGCCTGATTAGTGTCTCCATGGTCCACCTGCTTTTATGTTTTCTAGGGCTTATTGAGCTGTGCCCTCAGCAGAACCTTCTGTACTATTTGTTGTGAGACCTGTGTGTGTGTGCGTATGTGTGTGAGTGTTATGATGTGGTACTTGGTGGCCTTTGGTGGTTTGCTTTATTTATAAAGCGGGGCGAAAGCCCTTTTCCGTAAAGCCATGACTTTTCAAGGAGCACCTGGAGGTGGCTGCCCTAACAAGGAGAGGTGAAGCTTTAGGTTAGTCTATTACCAGCTTATGGTGTAACCTTTTTTGCTAATGAGCAATGATAAACACTAATCTAATAAAGGATATGATGAATTTCATCCCGACTCTTCTATACCAGCTCTTCAATAGGAGAGGATCTAACCTTGAAGGAAACATATATCATGATTGTCACGCGTCCATAAGGAAACAACCGCCGCCACCCAAGCACTAAGCCACCGCGTACTATCTCTCTATCCCTACCGACCCTCGCCGTTGCTAGAGACTAGTAGCTAGGCTAAGCCCCGATACGGTAGCCTTTGGTGGCGACATGCGATCTACGGGGCAATGGCTAGAGGCAGAGGGTATGACTATGCAACGGTGTCAATGGAGTTCTGGCCTGGCCGATGGTCTCTGGTGGCAAGGTGCCGACGACCGCAATCATGCCTGCAAGTACGCGGGAAGCAGCGGTACCCTTCTACGTCCCATCGTAGTGGGCCTTTGCTCGGGCGCGCGGGTGGCGCTAGGGTCCTACGCTGTTAGGCGTTATCGCGACTGTGGTTGGACGGTGGTAGCTGAAGAGCTGGAGGCTCTCGCGCCTTCATATTCAGGGCAATGGTGAGTATTTTAGCCGAGCGATTCCGTCGCCATAGGTGAGGACACTTAGCAAGAGGACAGTGTGGGGCTGCTGGAGCGTCCTAAATTGGGATTTTGGTAATGTTGATGACTTCCTTCCATTGTTAATCTTCGTCGCATGTACGAGGTTGACCTTTTGCTGTGAAGGCTCGACCACTTTCTTGTGCGGGCATGGTCGTCACTTGGGTGGCATCTCATATTAAGACCGTGTTGTCCATGAATTTGCTGGTATCATGGAAAGTGGTGACGAAAACCCACGATAACCTCGATTTGGTGGCACTTCTCGAGTACCCAGTCTCGAGCTCTGGGGTGAAGACCATTGGTGATGCGGAGCATCCCTCGACCATCCCCATGGACATTACATCACCACCGTAAGCACGAAGAGTACCAATGACGAGAGCTCACGCACGTGCCATCGAAACCGAGGTTAACTCCTTCCTCTTCGAACTCCATTTGAATTCTCACGAGAGTTGGATCCTACCTCAAATGGAAATGTTATGCTTTCTTAGGTACTACCTCCGTCCTTTAAAGAGTGTACTTCCAACTTTGTTGGAAAGTCAGACTTTTTTATGTTTGACTATATTTATACAATAATACACCAACATTTATGCCATCAAATTAGTATCAATATATTCATGATAAAATATACTTTTATCATATCCCTAATTGGTTTCATAAACATTGATATATTTTTGCACAAACTCGATCAAACTTTGAAATAGTTTGACCCTCCAACAAAATTGAAAGTACACTCTTTGAAGGACGGAGGGAGTACCAAAGAGATGAACATGAAGAGGTGAGCACGGAGACCCAATAATCCATGGAGGAGGAGGAGAACGCAATACAGAGGGAGCACGAAGCAAGAGAGGTCTCGGACCACTCCGGGTGCCCGGCCACCCCCAGCCGCCGGCCGGCCGCACCACTAGCCGCCCCGGGTTCCTGGCCGCTGCCTGGGTGGTGCCCCTGAGCGCCCCGGGTGCCCGGCCCATTCGCTGGGGGCTACAGTCGCCGCCCCGGGTGCCCGGTCCCCCTCTTGCCGGCTCCCTGCCTGGTTCGGGTGCCCGGCCCTCTTCGCCCCGGGTGCCCGGCCGACCCTAGGCGCCAGCCCCTGCCCGTTCCGGGTGCCCGGACTCCACCGTTTTGCCTACGCACAATTAGGGCTAAAAAGATCCTTGTACCCCACTCTTCCTCTTATTTCGTCCCTGGCCTATAAAAAATCTTCCCCTAGCTCCTTCTTAGGGCCAGCAAAGTATTTGAGAGACATTAGAGAGCTTTGCTCCTTGTATACCCCTCCTCTTGGAGATCAAGACCCCTCTTTGGGAAGAATCCTTGTGGATTATCAAGGCCTCCTCTTGGAGAAGTTGAACATCAAGACCTCATCTTCTTGGAGTGGGAAGAACTCTACCCGAGTGCTAGTTTCCTTGAATTGTTCTTGTATACTTGTGGATCTCATGTATGCTACTCTAGTGGATGTGTGACCTTGGTTTGTTTGAGTGATTCTCTTCTTGTGTTCTTGTGTGTTCATCACCATTTCCCCCTCCAAGTGTGAAAGATCTCATCTAGGGTTTCACCCTACAACACTTGGTCTAATCCCCTAGTTGGTTATATATAGTTGGTAGTGTTGGTGTTTTTGTGTTGTTAACTTATTGAAGACATTGCACAGACTTGATCTTCAAGGTGAAAACCCAAGATCTGGCCTTCGGTGGTATAATTCGGCAATCAGTGTCATTTGAGTGGCATTCCCTTTGTGAAGGCATTAATGATGGAGATCCTTTCCAGTTGTCCTTGTGAAGTCAAGAGATGGTTGGTGCGAATGGTCGTTGATGTAGTTCGTCGATTGCTGGTTTGATCACTTTGGAGTTTTTTCTATCAACTTAGGGATTATCTCTGGTGGAAAAAAATCAGATTATCATTTTACCAAAGAAGGGAAATCATGCAAGTCGAATATCTTTTTTCTACTCTTAATCAGATTATCTCCGGTGGTCAATTTGTTAGAGAAAGTAGCCATGAAAAAAGTGAACTCTAATAGGATAAGAAAGCTTCCAGACATCATGAACAAATTAAGAAAGATGCTATTGGAAGACACAAAAATAGTGGAAATTTATATCCAATTAATAGTTTCGATAATATCACACTAAAATAACAGATGACGCTTCCCTTGTTCTAGCTTATACAAACTCTTTGTGAGATCTCTAGTGATCAATTTGTGTACAGAAAGTAGCTACAAGAAAGCATAACTACAATGGGATTAGAAATTTAAGCTTCAGCATGAGAACATATTAAGAAATAATGCCACTAGAAATCGCAACATGAAAAGATTGCACATGGTAGACGCATAATGAATTCGTCATCCAAATTATGATTTCTTATTTATTGGTAAAGGCCAAAGACTGAGGAATTTCGAACAATATCATAACAGATACACATAATGACACCGATCTACAATACAATGACGAAACCTGATTTCAAGCTCAAAACCATTTAGACATTAGAAATGACAACCTGCATTCAGTTAAGAATATATGCCACCCATTTTTCATTATCGCACTTACCAAACTTCCAGATTCTCAACACATTTTGAGAAGGGCAAATCATAATCTATCTAGATTGCATAAATAAACACATATGGGTCCTCTGCCGCATGTCCATTTGTGATAAAATTGCCATATTTAATCATCGTAATCTTAATATCATCTAAAAAATACATATCTAAATCATCCAGTAAGCCAGTAAACACATAGATCAACACCTTATTTCAGCGACAATTATGGAACTATCAGAACTCTTTTACTCATTGTTATCTCAGCCCGTTGCCAAAGCAAGCCATGTCACCAAGCACATGGCAGAAAGTTATTCTGTTTCTTCCTTCCTTCTTTCTTTCTTTTCTCCTGCCTTCCCAGAGCATGTTAAACTAGTTATTGCGGCGTTGTGAACATCACAAAGACCAGTAAGCACATATAACCTGTTAATTTCACACAGCCCATTGACCTCTCTGTATGTATCTTTACACCGTCAGGTGGCGCTCAAAACATGCATGCATAGCTCGATCTTAATGAACTTTAGGTGCATGTCTGATGTCTCGCAGCAGCATCAGAGGAAAATTAACCAAGCTAGACGCTTGCTGGCTTGCACCAACTCCGGCGAACTCATTCTGAACTCGAACTGTTCTACTTGGAGAATCACATTTCCATAGACCTGATCATTGCAACAACCTGCAGCAGAAAGGATACATTTGTCTGCAGCCTGATCAGTAGTCTCAGATGATAAGCTTGATCTTGATCATGGCTTAATCCGAAAGGAAACCACGTACAGGCGGGTGCAAGAAATGGAACTCTCGCACGACCGGCTTGCATGGAGGCGCTTCTAGAACATTCCATTGCCCCCCCGCCATTGTTTCTGATCCCAGCAGCTCGATTATCATCCGTCCTGTGGGGTGCAACAGATTGGACTCGCATCAATCGACCAAACCAGTATGAAGAGGCAGGAGTTGTATCGAACGCACAGGCCGCGGGACGGGAGCAAGAGACTGCGATGAGTGGCCAGCGGCTCCAGCCTCCAGTACCATATCTATTGATCTACAGGACCAAAGTTCTACCACAAACAGAACGAACATTTCCGCTGGAGATTGGACTCGCAGATCAGTGCACTGCACCTCGTCGTTGCCCGAATCAAATAAACACAACACCAAATTTCACGAATCGATCGATCTTTCAGCGAATCGCACCCGCACTCCCATATACTAAATTGCGAAAATTGCTTGGACGCAGGCATCGATCGGCGGCGCTACCAAGCCGGATCCATGGCCGGAGCTATCATCCTCGTCGCCGTGGAGACCATCGATCTGCAAAGGCGACCGATTCGGCCGAGATCCAGCCTAGCCAGCTAGCACCACAGTACGAGACGAACCAAATTAACCAATTCAGTTGAGAATTCAGAAGCCGCCATGGATGGATTCAGCTCCGGACAACAAGTAAGTCTTATTGCAAAGATGAAGCTTTTACAGCGAGATCGATAGCGATAGCGACTCCTCCTCCGGGCGAGAGGAAGGAGAGGACTACAGGCTCGAACAACGAGCTACCCCCTAGCAATCATGTGAATTACAAGAAGGTCCTTCTCCCCTCTCATCTCTCCTTGTCTATTCCTTCTTGTTCTTCCGGCTGCCGCCACTGCGACCCCCAATTTCTTCCGTCGCGGCATAGATCTCAGTGATCAAGCGGTAGCGCTTCACCCTTCGCTGGCTCCCGGCCACCTCGTCCTCCTCCTCTTCCTCCCAGTCCACGCAACCACCAAGAATTACGGCGCCAGGAGACGGCGCCGCTGGTGGGGCGTTCACGGAGCGCAGGGAGGAGGAGAAGGAGCTGCCCGAGGGAGCCACGGAGGTGGCGACCGGATGGGCGCGAGGGGTGCCCGAGGAGGCGCTGCTCCGGCGGAGGTGGAGGAGCTGCTCGGCCGCGGCGAACTCGAGCGCCGTGAAGGCCGCCGGCGCCGCCGCGTCGGCCCTCTTCGTCTTGGGCTCCGGCTCCATCTTCCCCTTCGCCGGTTCTGCCTCGCGCTGTAGGATTTTCATTGACGATTGGTGTGGCTGGGTTGCCATGGACGCGCGCGTTGGCTAATTTCGCCTCTTTCTAGTCTGGTCTTTCTTTGGTTGCTATACTAGTTATTTTTCCTTGTCCTTTTCCTCTTGCTTTTGCGAAAGAGACTTGGATTTTATTTCTCTATTTTTCCTTTGATTTTTGGGTTTCAATTATTTCTCTAGCAGGTAGCTTTGCATAAATATCATTATGGTATAGAATCGATTTGGCCCGACACGTGTAATTACCGTTAAGCCATATTCCGGCGTGAAATGCGTGACACATTGTGAGCTGTCCGGTTAATCCAGCACACAACCCGTCCAACCGAGTTTTTGCAACACGTCGATGGATCACATAGCCATTGGCACATCGCGTTGAAGGTCATTACACGTCATATGTATGTACACACTACACATTTCTATGATATGTACATGTAACTTGTTTTGGGTCTAATTTCACGCTCGTTGTTACCGTTGCATATTCACACAACGGCTAGGTAGACACAATCACTACTGCAAAAATGATTACGAGAGACGGGCCTATTAATATTATTTTACATAACAATGTTGCACTCTAAATTTTGGTCATCACTCGTAGATTCACACCAGTAACTAGAACACCAGTTCCACAAAGCCCTTAGTCCTGTATGTCAAAGCTAACTATTCCAGACTAACTATTCAAGACTACTGGATCTTTTGAAGTTTCTTCGTTGCATAATTAAATAGCTACGTATGCTTTCTGATTAATTTGTTTTCTCTGGACAAGATTGATAATTAGTTTTTCAGAGGGAGTAGTGCATAGTACTGGTTTCAATCTCGTGGTGCTCTAATCCAGAGATAATAAGGACGAAGACACATATTGTATTGTTGTCACTAAGGATAAAGCGACATGGTTTAATCTTATTGCTAGATTTATTTATTTTTACATTATGTCATCTTGTTTATTACAATGCTCTGCTTCTTATAAACTTAATACCTTGAGATGCATGCTTGATAGCGGTTTTGGGGTGGAGTATTAGTAGTAGATGATGTTGGATTAACAGTTCACTTATCACAGATGTAATGCCTATGTGAGGTTATGTCATGAATGATCATAGTCATAAAGATTGCTATTCTTGCCCAACAATAATTTGTCACCATGCCGCTTGCTATCTTTTAAGAAAGACACCTCTAGTGAACCTATGGCCCAAGTCCATTCTCTATTAATTCAAGTCTTTCATACAATTTTCTCCTTTCATTTATTTGCTTTATTATTTTTCAATTTTACTACACAATTATCTATCTATCTATTAGTTTTTAATCTTGTAACTAGCAAGGACAAGGGGATTGACAACCCTCTTGTCGCGTTGGGTGCAAGCATTTTATTTTTGTGTGTGCAAGTGTTGTTTATCTTGTTGACTTGAAGCTCGTACTGATTCGATAAACCTTGGTTCTTAACTGAGAGAAAGCTTTGCTACTATCTACATCACCCTTCCTCTTTGGGGAAACCCAACAACTCGTGGGGGAGTAGCAATGAAATTTCTAGCACCGTTGCGGGAGAGTCTTCTTCTACCAAATCAGGTGCCTTCGCACAAACTCTTTTATTTGCTTGTTTTATTTCTTGTCTAATTGCCTCTGCCTTTTATTTTCCTTTTTATTTGCTTGCTAGAAATTTCCAAAATACCAAGAAAATATTGTGTTGTTATTTATGCTTTTGTTACCACGATGTCCACTCTGGATGAAGTTATTGTTGAAAGTGGTAGTGATGACAACTCTAGGGAAAGTAAAGAGGAAGTACCTAAAACACCTACTCACGACAATGATAATCTTCATAATGAAATTCCCTTAACTTGGAAAACTAAAAGATTATGCATAGGAAGTGGGAATGTTATTGGGAAAAGTGTCATTCAAGAGTTCATTACTTGTGCGGGAGTTATACTGGCAATAGTGGGAACCATTCTTACAAAAACTAATAGTTATGTGGATGCTATATGAAGGAAATATGCCCTAGAGGCAATAGTAAAGTTGTTATTTATATTTTCTTATATCATGATAAATGTTTATTATTCATGCTAGAATTGTATTAACCGGAAACTTAGTACAAGTGTGAATACATAGACAAACAGAGTGTCCCTAGTATGCCTCTACTTGACTAGCTCGTTAATCAAAGATGGTTAAGTTTCCTAACCATAGACATGTGTTGTCATTTGATGAACGGGATCACATCATTAGAGAATGATGTGATGGACAATACACATCCGCTAGCTTAGCATAATGATCGTTTTAGTTTTATTGCTATTGCTTTCTTCGTGACTCATACATATTCATCTGACTATGAGATTATGCAACTCCCGAATACCGGAGGAACACTTTATGTGCTATCAAATGTCACAATGTAACTGGGTGATTATAAAGATGCTCTACAGGTGTCTCCGATGGTGTTTGTTGAGTTGGCATAGATCGAGATTAGGATTTGTCACTCCGAGTATCGGAGAGGTATCTCTGGGCCCTCTCGGTAATGCACATCATTATAAGCCTTGAAAGCAATGTGACTAATGAGTTAGTTACGGGATGATGCATTACGGAGCAAGTAGAGACTTGCCAGTAACGAGATTGAACTAGGTATTATGATACTGACGATCGAATCTCGGGCAAGTAACATACCGATGACAAAGGGAATAACGTATGTTGTTATGCGGTTTGACCGATAAAGATCTTCGTAGAATATGTAGGAGCCAATATGAGCATCCAGGTTCCTCTATTGGTTATTGACCGGAGATGTGTCTTGGTCATGTCTACATAGTTCTCGAACCCATAGGGTCCGCACGCTTAACGTTCGATGACGATTTGTATTATATGAGTTATGTGTCTTGATGACCGAATGTTGTTTGGGGTCCCGGATGAGATCACTAACATGAGGAGGATTTGAACTCAATTTTTGTGAAAACTTGAAACTAAGATTTGAACTCAATTTTCTTGAAAAATATTTGCCTTTTGTGATGACTCATCTACTCTGCCCATACCTATCTATTCACAGGGCTAGTTTGCAAGATGTCAGAGGCAAGTGACAGTCAGAATGTGTCAGAACAACATGATGATCTCAGTGAAAGATCAAGTCCGGCTGAAAGTTTTGATGAAGGCAGCAGGAGCACTCCTAGCAATTTTCCTAAGGCTGCCAAGAGAACAACGAAAAACAAGGGCTCAGACACAGAAGATGAGGACACGGAAGATCATGACAACACACATCTAGTTGCAGAGAACATGATGCTGAGGAAGGACAAAAGTTTACGTCAGTGGAGACTGTATGATCCCTATGCTGCAAGGAGGAGGATTGCTTGTGATTATCTTTTCCACACACGAGAGCAACAAGATTTCTATGAGACTGTGTTGCTTGACAAGAAGCAAATCTTCAGTGATATGAAGTGGGTGGATTGGAAGTATATTGATGCAAATGAAGACAACTTTCCCCATGTTCATGAAAGCTTCAAGGTTGCAGGTGTTGATGATTTTGTTGGGACGAAGCTCACAAAGTGGAATAATGAGATGAATATGCAATTCTATTCCACTGCACACTTCTATCCAGATGGCAGAATAGTGTGGATGACTAAGGGAACTAGATACTAGTCAACCATCTCAGAATGGGCTGATCTTCTTGGTGCTCTAGAAGAAGAGGAGAATGATATTGATGTCTATGCAAAGCCCATGATGGATCAAAATTCTATGGCTAATATGTACAAGCCTATTCCTGAGGATAATGTTGAGACTCATAATCTTGCTTCAGTGACAGACTTGCTAGCTGGTTTGGCCACCACCAACACAATCTTGAGGCACACTCTCTTGCCCATGTCTGGAGATGAAAAGATGATCCATGGCCACTCCATCAACTTGCTACACTTGTTTGATACACCACAAAAGTTCAAAGGGATGAACCTTATTGTTGAAACAATCAAGAGAAGCACGACTGACTAGTAGAGATCATGTGGATTTGCTTCGACATTCCGTTGCTCATCAACTCCAAGGTTGGCACGAGCACATATCTACTTGATTGCGAGCATCTCCCATTACATCCGGAGTTCGAGGACAATGTAGCGGTGATGGACCCTTCACATCCTACATCTGCCCAAGCTCAAGAGAAGATCCAGGTGCAGCTGCTGCAGCAAAAGCAGTCAAGAAGGCCTCTACTCCCGATGCTCCCAGTGCTCCTATTGCTAACCTCAAGTCCAAAAATGCCCAGATGACTTATCTACTTGAAGCCACCCTGAGGATTGAGCGAACTCTGGCCAACCTCACCAAGAACCAGGAGAGCCTAGAGTGGATAGTCGAGACTAAGATTCATGATCTTGATGTGAAGATCATAGAGGTTCAGACTATTGTGGAGAAGCTACGAGATGATGTTGATACAGCCAGAGCTAATGCCGATGACAATGGAGATGATAGACCAACGACTGACAGGTTCCAGACAGTTCCCAGGGCACCCAGGTCTGCCGCAGTGTCTGATGTAGATAAGAGGACTACAGTTTCTTTACATGTTGCTACTTCTATAGTGCCACCTCTAGTTTCTACTACACCAGCCCAGCAGACGTCAGGTCAAGCCATCGCGGATGCACTTCTCTCAATGGCATCTACGCACATCGGAGTTGCCAGCCAGAGATCACCTTCATGAGCTGTCGAGGATCATGCTTAGAGAGACGTATAGCTCTATACCTATTCAAACTTTTTGTTACTTGTTGCTAAAGGTAGAGAATTTGTATAGATCATTAACCTTCGAGAGAGAGTGTCTTGCTTTTGCTCGTTGGTTTTCTTATGTTTTTGCTACTATTTCTGTTTGGTCCGTGCTACTTTGCTTGTTATGCATGTGAGATACTATGGTTATGTGTGATTGATAATGCTATGCTTCGTGTGATGCTTAATGCTTATCCTTATCATTATTCTTGTATGATCATTCACTTGTGTTTTTGGTGATGCGTGCTTACTATTCCATTCATACCATTTTGTGCGCTCCACCAAGTTGTATGTGTCATGGAGGAGTGACCCATGATCCTAAT